TTTTTATATATATATATATATATATATATATATATATAAATATATATATATATATATATATATATATATATATATATCCCTATGGCGGATTCCGGAATCGATTCCCCAAAACCTTATATAACTAGGAATGTTGGCCAAACCCAATACTTTGGGGGGGTGTAACAAGAAAACAATTAAAAAAAAAGGTATTAAACCAATTTTCGGAAAAAAAAAAAAACGAGTTCTTGATTTGAAGTGTATAAAGTATACCTGGCAAACCATAGCAAGAAGTTTGTTAGCTTCACCACACGCGGAAGTCATTTGATCCATTACACCGCATGGAGCTCCAACTACGTGATTTTCCACCTTCAAAATTATCGTTAATTTTCAGACATCATCGTAAGAAATATTAAGGTTTATTAAAAAAAAAAAAAAAAAAAAAAAAAAAAAAAGTCTTATCGAGTGTGCCGGTTATTTATTCATATATATATTAGAACCTAAACCTTTTGGCAGAGCAAAGCAAGGTCTCTGGGGTTGATGTTTAGCCCTGAAAATCACAGATATCAAATAAATATATTACTCGAATAAAAAAACATAATTAAACTACATAATGAAAAAAATAAAAAAAATAATTAAATAATAAAAAAAGTGAGCACCGTGAGCAGCAGCAATTGCAGACATGGTAGCGACCTCGACAGCTGCAGAAGACGAGACACCTTTGCCTTCTGGCACAGCCGAAGAAACCTACACATGGGCTCCGTTTCAGATTATTAAACTGCATAATTAGCAAATTAAACATTTTAATATTTAATTGGGCAGAGTTAGTTAAAACTCAGTACCAGCATACTAATACTGTTGTCAAAATGTACGCCGAGTTCTTTCATCAGAACAAGAATTGTACCCGCTATATAGGCTGCCCATCTAAACACCACAATCTAGTTAGCGTACTATAATCGAGATCTGAGACCATTATTTATTAAAAATATAAAAAAAAATTAAAAATTAAAAATCGAATCTTGAAAAACCTTTGCGATGGATCACGAGCAAAGTAGCTTCTGGCCTTTTCGTACGACAATGGTTTGTCATCCTCCATGAAATCCGACAAATCCATGTCAAAGGTGGGCCCACGGTTGCTTAATTCAGAGCCATACGAAACCTGAAATAAATAAAATGTATACATTTCAAGAAAATATTATCCACTAAAAATGCTTGGGAATGTAAAATTCACGTACGATTTGCAAAACGGGAGTCGGTCCTTGTTGTCCTTTAGCGCTCTGTCGAGCCTGAGCGTGTTTCCACAGTCTCTGTTTATTCGGACAGATCTTTTGTATAGCAACATGGCAAGCTTCTCTAGTCGGCATCTGTAATATTTTATTACAACATAATTGATTAAAATGACATTATTCGTCGTAAAAATGCTATCTTTAATCCGAAAAAAAAAATCTAAATTACCTGCAATACAAGGCTTCCAGAATAATCAGCAATTCCACCCATCACATCCAATCTTCCGGGTGCTCTCGTCACGAAAATATCTTCCTACAATCAATTTTTACATTTAAATTAAATTAAAATAAAATAAAGAATGCATTATTCAAATCGAATTAATTGCAAAAAATACCTCCCAATTAAAGAGACCAGCAGCAGCTTTTCTCTCCCTAAGCTGGTTCTTTTCAGTACCCTTTTCGGAATCGAGAACGGAATCGAGTCCCGACAAGCTCTTCAAGAAATTAACAGTATCCGAAAGACCCAAAATATCCCCGTCAAGAATCTCAAATTCCTCGGGGAATCTAGTTGAAAAATATTCCGAAAAATGATTATTCGACCAATAAAAAAAAATCGGAAAATAACTTCACCCAAAGAAATTCACTTACGAAGGCAAAGGAAAATTATCGTCACCACGTAATATAGCAGTAGTAGGAGAACCAGTACGAAGACCGAGTTCGTTTTCAGCATTTGCATACCAATCTGGAATGCTGAGATCCCTACCCGGGACACGTTGCAATTCATACCCAAGAACGATCGCATCTCGCAATCTGCGGGACCCACTTAGCTACATTTGGACCAAAGAAAAAAAAAGATTAGCAGTTAATCTGTCGAAAAAAGATGCATCTTTTCTTTTCCACTTAATCTCACCTTATCGGACGCGTAGTTTTTTCCGTAGGCTGTATCTTGCAGAATACGAGCTGCTACCTGGAATATTTACATGAATCAAAACCAAAAAAAAAAGAATCTAAATAAATCTAAATTAATAAAGAAAAAATAAAAAAGGAATCTTGAAAAGGGAAAATGTGGATTACCTCACCACCGTTAATGCCACTCTCGTAGCACGGTTTTAAGCTGATTGCCCGTTCGAGATACGGTCTCCAATGTCCGGTTAGTAAATCCCTTCTTATCATCTCAACACCACCTTGATAAAACTGAATTTATATTTTTTTTTTTAAAGATTTTTTTTCAATTTTCATTACATAAGATAAAAAAATAAAATAAAAATTCAGAAAATGCTGAAAACCATTATTAATTTGTACCTCAAGCATATTTCTCAAGAAAGGTTCTTCGTTGAAATAATCCCTACGAACAAAGACAAACGGTATCTTGTATGCAAGGGCTTCACTAACTGTACCATATCCGATTTTTCCTGAAATTAAATTAAAAAAAAATTACCGACTTATTAGTTTTGCTTCATTTAGCAAAAAAAATCAGATGCAAAAAGTTAAATATAACTGACCAAGCATGCAATCAGACGCAGCAATCACATCAGGGGTATATGTGTCTTTTGCTAGCTTTACGAAATTCGGAGGAAGGTCCAAACTTTCAGAAGCACCACAAACCTGAATCAAGAATCAAACAGCATTTTTAAAATATTCTTTGTTTACCGTATAAAAACGGAATCTTGTTCACATTAAAGAATCCTTAAAAATGTAAAGTTATTGTACGAATGAAATACCAGACAGATCCAACCCTCAGGCAGGTACTCCTCCTTTAAAGTCCAACCCGATGGCTGCAAATAGTAACGATTTTATATATAGTGTTCATAAGGGTGCAATCGAAAAAAATAAAAATAAAAAATTCGTATTTTCAAGATTTTCAAAACGACCGTTATAACTAATTACCTGTCCGCCAAAGTTGAGAATAGCAATCTTCATATCCTCCGAAATTCCGAGATCTCTCCTCACCTGGAGAATCGTTAAAAAAAATAAACGATGCATGTAAAAACGGTGTATTTTACCGGTTTTCGTAAAATTAATCATTTTTTTTTTTAATGTACCTCATCGCGAGACTTGTGCAACCTTCTCACTACCAAAGGCACATCGATTGCATCACGAAAGGCAGGCACTGTAGAGGAAGAACACACACGATGGCATAAGTTATATAGCAAGGGCAAATTCGTCATTATCCAAAAGAATATTCTGTATTAATGTGTGTACTTGGACAGTATCCTGGCAATCGGATAAGGAATTCACAGTGCGAATAATCCTCAGCTATCTGCATCATCGAAAAAACAACGTCAGAATATGAAGTAGCTTTCAAAAGTGTCTCGTTTTTGCGTATATAGACAATCGTAAGCGAGTTTAATTTACTGAAACGACCTGCCAAACTATGGATCGATGATGATGACCAGCAGCCATTACGTATTCAGCATAAATGAAATCCCAACTGCCAATAATATAATTTTTTCAAGATTTATAAATTTATTTAAAGACCGACAAAAAATACGAAAAAAAATAAAAATTTAGCTGAAAATGGGAGATAGAAATTACCTGAAATTGGTGACACAAACGGAACGAATCCCAGCATCAGCTGCTGCACGACAAGCAACTGGAACAACATCCGATACCTATACTCGAAAAACGGATTTAAAGAAAATTAGAAATAATAATTAAATAACAATATCCGAGAATTTATTACTCGAAACAGCTTCTAAAGTACAAATATTTTTTTTACCACTAAGTCTGCATTGATGGACTTTAGCCACTCAACTTCTGTAGCCATGATAGTGTCGCGGGGTACTACAGCCGTCTCAGAATACTAAACAAAATCATAAAAAATAATTAAATTAACTAATTAATTAATTAATTAATAATGACCGTAATACAAATGAAATTTAATATTTGTATATGTGCAAAGTGGTGCGATTTTTTTTTTTTCGTGTTAAAAAGTGGATACCTTCTCCAAAGATGCGAGGCGGTCAACTGTCAAAGCATCTGCTTGAACTGCACCACAGTCCAGAAGGACCTACAGTCGAAATTTCGTCTAACG